GCTTTTCCACTTCCCTTCAGGATTCCAAATGAGGGCTTACATCGTGATGTAATTTGATGATTTCCTCAATGTCTGTCCTATCCATTTCCATCGTCTTTTCCTAATTTCCTCTTCAACTGGAAGGTGAACTGTCCTCTCCCACAGAATGGTGTTGGGTGAACTGATTGAAGACTATGAATTTGTCATTACCAAATGAAAAACTTTGGGCAAATTTGTTTATCTTAATAAATTGTTTTGATTTTTCAGTAGTAAGTTACTTTACATTTGTTCTTTCATCATACTCATCTATCTAATCAAGATACTTTGAAACTATTCTTCTGATATTTAGAATCACGTCATTAATGAAAATATCTCAAGTCGGTATTATTCTGCTAAGGTGTTACACTAGACACTTTTTAGTGGCGCGTTATTCACTAACACCAGTTAAGTCAATAATTATCCACGAGGATAGCTAGGATGTATATTTTGACAACAATCATTCATACAATACTACTGGAGTCAGATCCAGAGTCACTAAAGTGGTGAGCCGAATGTGTTTCGAACACGCAACCTTATGATATGGAGTCAGATCTGGGGCCAATAATGTAGATCACTAAAGTGATGAGCCCGTCGACAATATCGTCCAATCTAATTGACGTCAAAATGAAGAGACCTAATAAAATATTTCCAAGGATCAATTTTGCAGATGCCTTCGATAAACTGGCTGCATGTATCGGAACTTTCGGATTATGAAAGAAGAAGAAAACCATGATCGATGTAGTAAATAAAATATACAAACGAAATATGATACAATTTCTATTGATATTCATGTTTAGCATCTCATTGCTTTAGCTATTGCAAATCACTTATCGAAACTGGTGTCGCGACACGTTAATGTATAAAACCAGACATCGTTGGTTTTGAAATCATTGAACTTATTGAATACTAACATTAGAATCTATTTATTATGGTCCCTAATGAAACCATAGTACTACTATACATATCTTGTGTATCCAGGCGAATTTGACCATCTACCAATTGAAGTAATATATTATTGAATAGTTTGTTTTAACAATTATATTTTCTTTGAAACATTCAATTTATCTTCAGTTTAAATGTTGTGACTAACTTATTTACATAAACTTATTACCCCTCATGAGGAGCATAAGCCGCCCACCAGCACTCTCCATCCAATCTTGTGCAATGAACGAGAAAACAAGCGGGATGTATCTAAACAAAATTACAGAACATCTTAGTAAAATCTGAGAACCATACAGTAAATACTTCATTTGAAAAATGTCAATCAATCATCTCAGACTTTTCTGTCCATTCATTTTCACACTAATCATTTACTGTTTCCACTCTTTTTCTTCGATATTCTTTACTTTCTGCTGCCATTTCACTTTCGATTGATAATACATACTACTTATATCTGTCGACATCAGTAACACAAGCCACAGCTGTACTAGGCAATCCTTTCCAGTTGTGAATTTGAAGTTAAAATGAGTTCTAAAGTAGGAAACGTTTTAGTTCCCAAACTTTTTCAAAATGGCGATAAGATTTTTTCACAATATATGTAAAAAAAATCCCAAAATAGTCATTATTTGTATTATTTACATGATTATCATTGACTGGTAAACAAGTTTTATATTTCTTCTTTCATACAGGTTGTTGTTTGCATTCATTTGTAAGAGTTGTGGTTGATCAGTTTCGGTCAACATATGATCTTTTTGACTGGATTGCTTTGGAGATGTCATTAAATAGAATTAAACTTCATCCTTATTCCACAAGTCACTGGGTAGTTAGTTTCAGTAGCTTGGTGGAGAAGGCTGTAGGTGTTTGAAACGAGGGGTACTAGGTTCGATTATTAGGAAATATATTTACTTCAGGATGTCGATGCATTCAATTAACGAGTCCGAAAAAAGAGGAGTTCCAGTAAACCGAGTTCCACTATCAAACACAATCAAACGTTTTCTTTGAAAAATTTATATTTACGAACTAATTTTCTCATTTAATGTAAATTTTTTGTTTGATTAATATCTGATTTTACATATAGACTTTCTCACTGATAAATTTGATTAAAATGTATACGACAAACGTGACAACTATTCGCAAATCAAACAGAATGGTGTTGATTTCATAAACACGTTATTTATACTCTATATCATAGTATCAAAAACGGTTCACAGTAATATAGATTAATAAGAAGAGAAGCAAGTATTACTTACTTAGTTACGCTTGTTACTTACAGTGAAGCATAGGTCGTAGAACCAGCATTATCCAAGCAAGTATGGAAGGACTATAAAATTGTTCAAATGTTAAATTGTGTGAAGATTGAGGTCGACAAGACAATCTGTTAGTCAGGTAGTCTACACCTACCAACATGGTGCACATGGGCTCCAGTATCCTGCGGGAACAAATGGCGTATGAACCAATTGTTGGTCACCGGCTACCATGGGACTGCATCTCCTCACGATGATCCACTGCCCTGTGGATCAGACTTTTAGGTAAAAGGCTCGAGTTGTGGCCCCCTACGAAAACCACCTGCTTCGATCTGGGAGCTCGGGCAGTATCAAAGACCACACACACGCACACACAAATATGGTGTGGCGCATATATATTTGGTGCCCTCTTGTACCAATATTTATAAGTTGAAATAAATAAATAAATAAATAAATAAATAAATAAATAAATAAATGGCTCAGTCCACTTGTCAGTGACTTCACGAACTTGTGCAATGTTTCGGTCTGGCCTCCCCTAGCTTTCTTCCAACCTACTCCTATACCACTGAACATAGCACGTCGAGGCAGTCGGTCGTTGAGCATACGTAACACGTGTCCCAGCCATCTCAACTGATGTAGTAAACTTAAATTGTCCAATTCTTATTGTTACTGTTGTTGTCAGTTATATACCCTTGTGTTTCAGTTATGATCTATACTCTTGTGAATATTTCTTATTAATGTCTTATCATTCTATGAAATGCATAACCTGTGATCAGACATTTGATCTGATTTGTTATTACATTACTTAATCAATAACTTCTCATTAAATTCTTCAAATTTAGATCTAAATCAATGTTCCAAATGAATAACCAACTTTATAGTAAATACTTCTGAAATTGCTGTATGTGAACATGGAATGATTTGTAAAATGAAAGTGTTAGTGCTGAAATGATTAGTATGTCATGTTAACTGAAATTCATATCACTTTCCACAGTAAATAATCTTCGACTAAATACTTTATATACTGTGTAGCCACATTACTTGCACTTCTTGAACCATAAAATATCCTTTTACATTTTGAATGTAATCTCACAATTTCATTTAAACGTATGAAGATCAAGTTCCAGTGTCTTCGAAGGATATGTTGTTGAAACAAACAAAAAACGGTTGAATTCTAAGAGTCAGGGATTCTCATAAGAACTCCGGAAATTTCCTCTCGAATCCAGTCAGTAGTGAACAATTCATGATTTCGTTGACTTTCCCCAATATTCCATTATTGGGTTAAAATAGCAAATGCAGTACCGATGTTGTGATCATAAACATCAAACTCTCATTGATGATTATTCATCTAGAATTGATGTAAACTGAAAATATTTTACTAAGAATATAATTTCAGTCGATAAATGAAATATGATTAACATATCAGTAATGAACACGTTTTGTGAAGATGAGATCATTGCCTTCAACTCATTCATGCCTAGTCCTATGTTGTGGAATATGACTGCTGTTAGTCACTGACGTCCAGCATATAATACGGCTCAATCTTAACAATGAGAAAAGTTACCTGTCTGAATAAAACAACACACAAAATGGAATAACATTGGCTTCATGTATTAATCTGTGGCGAATACAACGTGTAGATCAATCTAATCTCCACTAAACTTCAACTCAATGAAAAACGATGCATCGTTCGTATCCCATCAGTTTTGAGGTCAGATCATTGTGATATCAAGTTGAAAATGCTACTTAATTTTAATAAGTATCTAATTTCAATTGTAACAATTTAGTAATAAATAAGTGGCTTTGTTTTATATTCAACAGTCGGACACTGTAAAATGAAGAATTATCTATTGAACAGTTGGTTTACTTACATACTTCATGCTTATCACTCCCAATGGAGCATAGGCCGCCAACTAGTATTCTCCAACCCACTCTGTCCTGAGCCTTCCTTTCTAGTACTATTCAATTGTTGTTCATTCCTTTCATATCTGTCTCCATTTCTTGGCGTATTACGTTCTTTGGTCTTCCTCTTCTACTTTAGCCTTGAGAATTCCAATTGAAAGCATTATCTATTGAAGAGATTGGTCTACCTAGAATTAAATCAATACAAAACAGAATAATCAACCACTCACCGATCAGTCTTCATTGACCTATGCAACATGTTTCTATTTCCTCAATTTCATCACTAATCAAGTGTAGTATTGAATTGATGACAATACATAATCAAAGAATTAGATTCCTTTAACTAGTCACATGTATTGCACCATATAGAATTAGTGAAAAATAAACATACAATAATGTTTTACATGGTGAATTACATCAATGCTTATCTATATGATACATAACAGTATGCATATCAATCTATCAAAAGCCTATTGACATTTGTTATGCGTAGGCTAAACTCACTCATTCATTTCTTCTTCTTTTACTCAAATACAGGCTCATTGGCAAATCATCAACAAAAAATGACATAATCAGCAGGTATGCAGTTTAATTAAAAGTCAATTTCGAATGGATTAATCAAAATAGAAAGGGGATTCAGTGTGAAACTCATCAACAAGAATAAAGATTTCGTGAACACAACAAAACTCTTGTGGCAATTCCCCTACAACATCATCATCCAGTTCAAAATCATGTATTCGTCAATAGTCAGATGATATTCAACAAAATTGTTCGTTTTCTTGAATTGTCTTTTTATTGTAAGCGATAATTTCCATTGATTTGTTTCTCTGTTGTTCTATTCATTTCATTCTTTATGATGCAATATAGACAATTGGCAGCATTGTGGTTGCATTCGGCATGAAACTACCAACCAATCTATCTGGATATAAGAGGATTTTACAAGCAACTATACCACCCATCTTCCTAACTGCTACTTTCTCAGGAACTCTTGGTATATTAGCTGCATGCATCGGAATATTAGCAATATTGAGTGAAAGAAACATGATCATGTATCTGGTAACCATTGAAATATTAATGCATATGCATATGCATTTCTATCCAACATTTACGTTTAGCATCTATGTGCTTTGACCATTGTAATATTTATGGAAATAGGCATAGCATTGACATCCTCTTTAATGAAAGATCAAGTTAGTTCATGTCTGACATTGTACGTTGACTTCTGATTACTTTCACGTATACAGTTCTTCACTGAAGCTCATCGTTCGTTAAATACGAATGTTAAACAATATTGGACAAATCTTCGTTATCAAATAGAATTTGATGATTTACAAACAACAGTAAGTAAATATAACAACGGTAAATGTGTTAACTCTCTACATACAGTTCCGTTGTTGTGGGGCTGATTCATCCAACGATTATCCACATGTTAAACAACTTCTACCGATTTCATGTTTGTCTGGAATAAAACCATATTCACTGGTAAGTAAATGTTTGATTGTTGTAAAACACTCTAATTGCATATGAACCAATCGAAAGCTTCCAATTTTGAAGGGAATTTCAACATTGAATAGGTAAATGTCTGAGGAAATGTTTGACGAAACATCTCTGCACGTTATTGTTAACAAATACAAAGCGATGTCCGTGCTACAATAACCAAGATTTCTCCAATACTCAAACTATCCAGCTAATTTATTCAAAAGTATACATTTTACACTATGGTTTAACATGCTTCCTACATATTCTTAACACATTCTATTCACAACAAATCGATTGGTCATATCTACGTAGTAAATCACTACTCTTCTCACAATTCACCTGGGACACATGACCAATGCATATTTGTAACGTTCAGTCGCAAATTCGCAGATGCTGAAAATTTACATCGTGCGATCCTCAATTCCTTGTTACATATACTTGTCATGTTGATGTTGTTCTATTCACCTTAACTTCATTTTGTGTATATTCAAATAAATATATTAGGATGGAAAGGCCTTCCGGTGCTTTCAGCTTTCTAATGGTGATCTAACATTGGTCGATTCATGATCTCAATCAGAACTCAACCATCCTCACAGCTGTTTACTGAAAATAAATACACATGAATTTATGAAGTAAGATACAGAATGAAGACTGAAGAACAAGACACCTTGATTGCATGGAAGTTAATGTAAAAACACTTCTAAGCAGATAAGTGATGGTTGTCTTATTTTCATTAGTTGTCTAATTAAAGTCAGTTCATCATGTAAACTAAGAAAAGGAGGCTGTCTCAATGCCTTCCGTAGGTTCCCTTCAACAATACTAGATTTTGTGGCATACTTATCAGTTTACTGTTGGTTTAGTGTTGTAGAAGTAGCTATTGTCCTAAGTGAGAAGTTGCATACATCCAAAGCGATTCGATTTGCTGATCGCTCTAGGGCTTATGTCATTTACATCTTAATGTCTGCTTTTCAAAGAAGGACCACATTTATCAATCTGGTCATTGAAAAACCTCCACCGAATCACATTATTAACATAGTCGATACAAATGGATTAGTGATGTGAACACAGCAGCACACGTTTCAAAGGAAATACATTTTTTGTTTGATGTATAGAAACATTTAATTCAGGACGAATTACCATTTCTCGATTTTTACATTCAGTGCTCATATCTTACTCAATACACCTTCATAAGGAAGGAGGATTAACTTGTTGTACAGACATTTTCCAATGAATCATTTCATGCAAACTAAATTCCACAAGTCACATTCAACATTTTCATCTCAAGCTTACCAGTTATTCGTCATTCACTCACTGCTTTCCGAGACTCGTAGACAAATACTGAAATCAACCAAACAACCAAACATCGTTCTCTATGGTCAGATAGATGGTTTATTCACTTGTTTTGAATATTACATGGCACTAAACATTTGTATCTTCACAACTATACATGATTAATTAACACTGTGTATTTTCTTTATTTAACATATATAGGGATGCATTGATGCATTGAATGAATTTGTACAATATTACAAAAACATTCTGATCTATTTATGCTTCAGTTTTGGAATAATTCATGGTATCTACTTGGTGTTCTCAGTTGTGATGGTTTGTAAATCTAAACATGGAAACACTCGATCTACACAAACCTCTTGTTGAAATAAAACGAAGACTACTGATGAGGATTAAATGTTGGCCGAAATTTCGCATGAATAACACTTAATTATTGTTGATAAAACACTACAACACTTTTACATAACACTTGTCTCATCAATTTGTAACATACATTTCATTTGTGTAATAAATCGCACAAAGATTATAGAGTTACTTGGTGAAATTTAAAAACCATAGTCTAACACTATTTGCAAAACGTTCATTAATTGTTTCAGACTTGATTGTTCCTGCATTACCATACCAATTGCTTTCTATCCTCGTTCTTGCCTTCTTGATCTTCTCAATATTCTGTTGCCAGACATTCTCTTTCTGACTTGCGTTATATACTACTTATGTCGTTATAAGTAGCACACTCCATAAGACTCGTATAATTTGTAGCATCTTCACCTATTTAAGCCAGAAATATATTTCACTCTAATGATAGAACTACATTCATAGGATGGATTCACTGATAACAATTAATAGTTGTGTTAGGAAATATCATAATATATGCGGCCTGCTTGAGTATCTGGGCTGCCTGTTCCTGCTATTTAGATATTTCAACAAGTTATCTATTTTTGTGTTTTAAAATATCATTATATCTGGTAATCAGTTGAGCTATTCAGATGCTTTTATGAAAAGTTTACAATCTTTCCCTGTAAAAGTTACAAAAGTGCCTAGTCAGAGACATCGGGGTTGTTAAGAATATGCAGTGAAAAGTATGTACATTATTCAGATGTCGATTCCTAAAATGCTAACCTCTAACTGGCGACCACTCAATATGTTATTGTCCGAATCGACCAAGAGTTAAGAAAAGTGACAAAGCTTACGTTCTACCAAGAATATAATATTGAATTAAGCTAATAATACTAATAAAATTATAGTAATAATATTAATGAATAAAATGTGACTTTCGCTTCCAGCTCAGATAATTCTTGGTTTTTACACCGAAAGGAAACAATACAAATCAGTGTGTTATCGGAAAATCCCGAATTGTTAAATGTGTACATTTACAAATGATGTATGGGACAGTAACTGGTATAGCTAATCATAAAAATCTCATTAATCAAACTCTGTTAAATTAAGTGAAGTTGATTTGCTTAATAATGATATGTAGAAGTAGTCGAATGTATTATACTAACTTGTAATATCCAAAACCATCAAATTCATACGCTTACTTAGCTACTCCTGTTACACCTCGTGGAGTAGCATAGGTCACCCACCGAAATTCTCCAACAAGCGCTGTCCTTCGCTCTAGCTTAAAATTGTCTTAAACTACTATTAATTCTTTTGATGCCTGCCACCGATTCCCTAAGCAATGTGTTTATTGGTGGTGCGCTTTTCCTTTCACTTCAGAGCTCCAAGTTTGCAGTTTGATGATTTCGGTAATATATATCCCACCCACCACTTCCAACATCCTTTCCTAATTTCCTCTTCAGATGGGAGTTGGTTTGTTTACTCCCACAGTAGGCTGCTAATGATGATATCCATTCAACGGACATTGAATATCTTGTGTAGACAATTGTTTATAAATACTTGTAATATTTTGATTATCATTGTGGTAGCACTCCAAGTTTCATCTCCATACAGTAGAACTGTTTTGACGTTTGTATTGAAGATCCTGACTTTGATGTTGGCTTGTAGACAGCTCTTTTGAGTTTCATATTTTGTTTAACTGTATAAATGCTGTCTTTGCTTTGTCAATCCTCGCCATTACGTCTGCATCGGATACTCATTGTTCATCGACGATGCCACCCAGATAAGTGAAACTTTCCACCTGTTCCAGAATTTCTCCATCAAGCCTGATTGGTTTGGTGTTCTTAGTGCTGTATGTGAGGATCTTGTTCTCTCCCATGTGTATGTCAAGGTTTACTGATGCTGTTGCACTGGCTGTCTTCACAAGCATTTGTTTATGTGTATGGTATAGAATAGCTGAATCATCTGTGAAGTTCAAATCATCTAGCTGCATTCAAGCTGTATTGAATTTTTGTGATATGTTTTCTCCAGTTGTCCATTGCTTGCTTGGCCACAGTTTCATCTTGGCAACCACTAGGTAGATGGTGATCTCCAGCTATGTCAAATCCCCTGATGGTTATCATGTCCTCGATTGACCTTCATAATTTCTTAGTGGTACAAATATGATCGATATGGTGCTCTGTAGTGTGATCCGGTGAAATTCATGTAGCTAAGTGAAACTATCCACCTATTCTAGACTTTCTTCATCAAGACTGACTGGGTTGGTCTTCTCCGTGTTGTATTTGGATATCTAGATTTCTCCCTTGTGTATGTTGAGGCCTACTGATTTAGAGGCCACTGCTACAATGGCTGTCTTCATCAACGGACTTCCACTTCATTGTTTATATTCCCAAGAACTTACACCTTAAAGTGTTAAGATACCTGAATTATATATAAGAGTCAATTTAAACAAACTAGGATATGAACAAAAACAAATTGCATAACGAAACAGTAAATATTAACCCTAAAGACATATGACGGCTTGAATTTAGGGTTCAATAAACTATGTATGCTCTTAAGATCGTTTTTATGAAAAATAATCACAAAGACTGAGTTAAAAACAATATTATGATTCATTTCAACTGTGATTTGGACGATAAAGGAAGACGTGTATTCGGTATTTGATTTTACCTGGTCATTTTGTTTCATAAATTTTTTACAGTAATTTCCAAATCACAACTACTCTTCAATAAGTAAGTGTGTCCATGAATATGAGAACTATAGATATTGTTTCCTTCACTAATGATGAACTCACCTGGATAGGAAGTCCCATTATTATCTGGTTTAAGCTTTCTTTTTAACACAAAGCTGTTGGATACACTTTTAAATGTCAGGGTAGTGCGTATACTATTTCTAATTGTCATAAACATAGTAGTTATTAAAATATCAAAGACTTTCTATTGGTTAATGGAATTCAGCAGATAACCATTCTTCATTTATTCTTCAATCAGAAGTGCAAAATCGACTTGAACATGATAGGTCGGGTCTTAGAAAACTCTTGGAATCTTCCTTACTGTCAATAAATAATGATAGATTCACGTGATTGATATCTAACAGTTCGAATTCGACACTCAAATGATAATCTTTAAAACCTATTGTGGTGTTTGAAGTGAACACACATTCCTACCAAACATCAGTGAATTTACAATAAATGTTTCACAAACCAATCAAACAAATAATGAATAATCTTGATTGTGCGTTGAAATAGGTCAACCGTATCGACAGATATTCATTCGTCACTAACTCTTGGAAACAGTCACTAGTGTGTACATGATGATTACATTCTGAGAGGGGCTTTTTTGGAGATTGTATTAATTTAAAAATCGAATTCATGATTCATTGGAATCTAGATCACCATCGAACACCTGGGTTCGAATGTCGAGGGGCATGATCTGGAATGTGCACTGTTGAAGAGTTCCATACTAGAATAAAACGACCGTCCATTGCTTACAGGTTTTTCATGGTGGTCTAGCTTCAATTGACTCATCAGTTCAATTATTGAATTACTAAAATGTCCGAAAAACCCCTCTGTTTACTGAAAGATTATATTGTGTATAACGTTGTATGAAATCGGGAAGGAATAATTAAGTGGAGTGTAAGCAAATCAGAATAATCTCGTGTTTGGTAGATGAATATTGATGTTATGTTGTTTCATATGACTATATCGAACAGAAAAGTGAAGAATATGTTACGAGAGATATTTGTTGACGTTGAGTTTGCGACTGAATAATAGTTGGTTAGACAATTAACAGTTTACAGGAATGTGTTAATGTATGAATATTTACGTCAATCTAGATAGAATTATATGAATCAAGCACATCAATTCATTTGATGATAGTGGGATGTTTTACAGATACCATCGTCAGTATGTGCATTACAACAATAATATTCCATTTCAATCACATCAATAATCATGATTTAAACACAACTAATTCAAATACTATGGAGAACTTGTTTATGTAGGCGGGATCAGTTTTGTGACGTCAAAACCATGATGTCTCGTAGTGATTTTGTTGTCATTCAGAAATCATAGGAGTTATTCAAATACAAAACTTCATAACGTCATCCCATTTCTAGGCATTCGAAACTGTCAATAAACATAATAAAATATTTCATTCATCTTAAATATTTGTAGTGCAGTGAACGAATACTCACGTGGAAAGAAACTCAAATTTTTTGTTTAATAAAAAATCATACAGTGATTTAGTAAAAAAGAATATGCAAATCACATATTGAGTACATATTGGCACAACTTGTTTGCATTGATTTTTACATACTGCATTATTGTTTTAATTCAGTTGTTATTTTAATTGTTATTCGTTTCCTTCCTGTTCTCTTCATATGAAACTTCCTCTGATTGGCATTCTACTCCGATTGCTGCCACGTACTACTTATATCTGTCAGCCTCATTAACATACACCACACTTGTTTCCTCTTTAAACAGTCGCTGCTTCAGTCGTTCTTCTCATAGTGCACCTTTCCTCCTTGTCGCATTCTATGCCTTGTTCCTCATCGAAATGTGGATTCCGTCGACACTCTGAGCTATATAACTGTCCCCAACTCACAGACAATCTCAGTGCGATGTCCATCCTGCACTCGGAACGTCTCGCGTCTTCTCTCATCTCTCTTCTCAACACTGAATATCACAAGCAACACCATCTCACCAGATCAATCCATTAGACGTCTACTGACTGCAACAGACAACACCAACTTAATACTCATCTCTAGACCCAACAACGGAATCCACAGTACAGCACCATCTTCACCTCCTCTTTGACAGCGACACTAAATGTTAACAATAAAAACGATAATAATTTCGTCACAGTTCCATCCAATGAGACGACAACAGAGGATTCTTTATATACATCACGGATCATTCTCGCTCTATCAACAAGTAAATCTAATATATTTACACGGTTCAAAATATCAACATATGTGGAATCGTCATCATTCTATACTGAGCAGAGAGAAATGAAGCTCAATTTATTCATCCTAATCAGTAACGAATGATGTTCAGAAGATTTTTATATTTGAAAGCGTAGGCAATTCCAGATATTGACATAACCAAAATTCTATATGTATTTATGATTTCGCGTGTTAAACAGGAGTTCACATCCAGACTGAACATTCATGGAACTCAACTTGATTGCGACAGACCTACTTTAACGCACAATCAAGATTATTCATTATTTGTTTGATTGGTTTGTGAAACATTTATTGTAAATTCACTGATGTATGGTAGGAATGTGTGTTCTCTTCAAGTTACAATCCATGTCAGTTATGGAAATGTTGAACATTCAACTAGGCAATAAAAAACACAACATTCCATATTAATCGATCAATAAGTAGTAATGAATTCCATAAACCAATTGCTTTGAATGTTATTGGTTGGTGAATTCAGTGCCATGCAATTTTCTTTCAGAAGTGAATTGAAACTGGAATATTTGTACTACCAACTAGTTTACATAATTTTAGAGTCTTTCATTACACAATCCACACTGCATGGATTATGAGATATTTTGGCATTGAGAAAACTAATTTTGAAATCTCATCATTGTTCATCAATTACAGCGAATGATAACATCACTGATTTCTCACTGATTTACATAGAACCAAACGTAACAGGATGAATCAGTATTTCGGTAGTAAGATTCCATACATCTTGATAAAATGTAAAATCGTAATGAAGTTGGCTTAACATTCATCTTTACCACTGCATTAAATAAATTCTTCACTAAGGCACGTCGTCGGCAGCTCGTTTTATGTGTATGCATGCGATTCCATTTCATAATATTAGCTATACTTTTGGAGTTTGCGTGACGATAACACGCTATTTGATATATATTGTTTGAATATCGTTGAGTCCTAGTTTATGACTCATATAATGCTTTAGAATTAATACTGGAAGCGATACGGGTTGACTGTCAAAAAACCAAGCCCGGAAAACCATGATTCTACATATAATAACAATTCTGTTATTACATCTACCCCATGCTCTGCTACTCCTTTTGAATCTGATAATGTTGGGAGTGGTCTTACAACACATCTGCTGCTGGATGACTCTAATTTAATAATGAGTCCCACCTCAAGATCAAAATGTATCGATAATATTAGGAGTGAATCAGACACTATTTTTTATGCAACTAAACAACATGCGTCCTAAGTTTGAGTCACTTGCTAGCTCTTTATCAAAGCACGATGATCTGAAACAACCTCTACAACCTCTACATTTTTGAATATTATTAACGGAATGCAGCTATAAGCCATTAAAGATGAAAGATTGGTTAAGTGAAGTCTTCTCTCTTTGTGGAATTCATTTTCAATGCTGTCATCATACCAAACGGAAGTTATTAATCAGTATTGTTTTCAGAGTGAAAATCAACTCTGAGATGTAAGTTCTTCCAGTTGACGAGTCCCAAATAGGACGAAACGCGCATCAAACTGCTAGCCATTATCAGTCTTTGCTTATAAAAGATTATGAATTAAAGGAATATCGCGGCATACTCACAGTATGCACATATGCCAATAACAGACTGATCAATTGCAATCATAAACCTCAATGGGAAAATACTAGCAAAACAATACTAAGTGAGTATTATTATCATCCTGTAAAATAACTATATATATATTGTGTGGTTTTCACAACTCAAACTATGCTCAACAGATATTGTGACAAAATGTCACAAGTAGGATTTCAAAGAAAAATAAGCCTATCGTTTTACTTATAAAGCTCAATCAATCCACAATGCTCTCAGTGTTATAGTCAACCAATGACTTTCCATCATTCAGTCACAATGCAACTCTCAATAACCACAACTAGATCGATCTACGGTTGCTATTACACCTTCACAATAAACACTCTGAAGAGATGACAAACATCTATCTTGAAATCCAATCAATACCTCATGATAATAATAATAATAATCTACTTTCGATCAAGTACCTTGTGTTCGTTGTATGAACACTTCGAATCTGATTGACTGATATACTCTAGTTGAAATATCCTATCGATTGTGTTAAAGAGAATAAACGTTTCTCATTTTTGTTTGTTTTCTTTCGAAATACCTCCCAGTAACAAGTTGATTTAAACAAAGAAAATAATGAAGAAATTCATTATTCAGTTGATAAGAATAGAGTACAATGGTGTACAAATAAGTAAGATCAAATGACAATAGAATGAGTAATGAATAGTCAATGATTCGGTTGTTTGATTGACATTCGGTTCCATTGAATATCTTCTCAACATTTGTTCTCAATAAGACCATTATGCAGATAGGAAATCGTCACCTTCAAATTTACGTATTCTCATAATTGACAATATCAGGTAGACCGCTTGAATAATCCCGAATGTGAAACATAGATACATGATTATATTTAGATAAGTTTGTGTATATTCAATTATCGCTGATACACATCCCTTTGATGAAATGATGAGAAAAAGTGAATAGAGAATTACAATGAAATGTCTATCATTCATTCAATAAATCTACATGGATAATTGAAATGTGAAGCGTAGTGAAAGTGATTAGACTGTGATGTTGTTGTGAATGAGAATAAGACTGAGAACAATGCAGAACTGTCTTGTCACAGAGAACAATCTACTGTTGTGTCGGTAGAGCAGTTCAGTGAGTTTGAGTTAATGGTTTTGATTTTACCACTAGTCACTTACTAATATGACTGAGTTATAGTGTGCTGATGAGAGGAACAGAAGTGTCAGTAATGACAACAACTTCAATGGATATAATGTCACCTAATCTTCAAATACGGAACTCTTATAGATATTCATGTGTGTCATCGAAAACCACGTAATCAGGATGATTGTATTTGCCTAGATGAATAGCATTATGCGATGAATCCTATATTGGAAATCACTAAGCAACATGTTAACAAATGTTGTTAAAACGCGGTTGAAATTCTACTCAATAAATAAAATTATTCCACATGACAGTTGATTCAACGTGTTCCTAGTGAGTGAGCTGAATATTCAGTATTTGGTTGAAAATCCTAAATTAATACAAACGTGAATATTCTATGGGGATTGTTAAAGTGATGAAATCAGGTAAGGTAATTGGTTAAAAATTTGCAAAAATATTGACTTACTTTAGGATATGCAAATTTGTTGTATTTACATGAAGCAGGTGTTAGTACTACCCTTGTATTATATCGATAGTCATTTTCCGAGTTTGCTCCACAGCAGTAAAACTATAGAGAAGAAGTCGTCAGAATTTTGCATTCGATTATAAATTACACTCTTTTGTAATTGATCAAACTCCATTCGATAATCAACTCGTTTCTCATATTGTTTAACAGTAGAACTCAGCGAGCTATTCACTAAATTAACGAACTATAATAATATGAAGATCAGTGTGTCACGATACATTAGGTTCACTTTATATCAAACAAACCCTATCTTCCGTTACAACTACTTTAAATGCCATACCGATCCACATACAAGTCACGATAAACAAAACGACAATGTTCTAAACAGAGATATGAGTGAAATACATTTGTCCATATTGCACATATCACTTACCATATATATGATCACTTTCTGTTTCTTCGAGTGTCCATAAATGCCAACAAATGATCCTAGTACACCGAGACCTCCTGAGATACTGACAGCCAGGAAGATCTCTGGTTTCGCATTTTGTAGTATAGTTCTGAATTGATTTAATGTGATTTGTGGTTGAATTCCGAGTGCTAACAGAACAACACCGAACACCTGGATTGTATAAGTAAGATGAAATGAACCACCATATGAGGCGAACACATGTAATGATACTTAGTACAAAACTACAATTGCACAGGATGAATACTTTAGTCCAAGATTCACTTGACAATAACATTTCAATATTGTTCACTGAGATGATGATATTGTGTATGCTGTATGAACTGGTAATAAATGTGAGTCAATGTATCTTTCACTTTCAATGTGAATTTTCACAGAATATCAAGTGAATTAGTAAAATTAATTGGGATTCGTCTGAATTAATTTATTCATTGTACTGTGTATTTCTAATAGAAATTCATGCACAACACAAAGTTAACTTACTTAATTCAGAAGCACTAATGAATCACATCATCAACATTATCATTGTCACTATGGTTCGGCTTGATTTTACTATCAAATTCAAAAGTATACAACTTGTCATTATAAGTAGTTAAAATTGTGTTGTATGTATGTTTATGCATTTGTTAGTGGTAATTGTGATGTAGTGAACGAGAACACAAGTGTATTTGAGAAGAAAATTACAGAAAATCTTTTGAAAATATCTGATAACCATTAGGTATATACTGCATTTGCAAAATGTCAATTCATTGTCTCAAACTTGACTGTTCCTTCTGCAAATGCCATTCAATCGTCTCAGAATTCATTGTGCTTCTGGTTCCACACTAATCATTCTCTGTTTACACCCCCTTCTGTTTGATCTTCTCAATCTCCTGTTTCAGGTATTTCACTTTCGTTTGATAATACATGCTACTCACATCTGTCAACATCACTAATTCACACCTGTTATAGTCACACTTACATTCACATAATCAGGTCATGGTCATACAGAGATGACATGAACATTATGAGTGGTTGCATACTCAGTATGTCCAACAGTATTTCCTCAATTATGACAGGTAACTGTTCATTCAATATCATGAGGACATACTTCAAAATAATAAAGACAGTCGATTGACCAAAATAACGTTGAAGAACACAAGCTGTGAATGTACGTAACAATTATTTTGGATATCTGTAATTGTGGCAGTTCAGTTGAGTGAGAGTAAACAGGATGAGATTCATGGGGACTAGGTGTATTTCATGAAGCATGATCAATGTGATTGATGTGTGGGTGAGAATGATAATGATAATGATTGGTTATCTGCTTGGTCAAACATGCAGATAGCCTGACAGGTGTCAGATGAGTTATATATTCCCTTATCCTTATTATTATTGATTGATTGATTGTTCATTATTGTTGGATTATTTCGGGTTTCGGTGTGGAAATGTATTTACGTTCTAGTCAGGCTAATCACTTGTTCTTTATCGTCTGAGTCGTGTTGAAGTCCTGTAGAATAGACACTGTGAGGGAATCTAATGTAGATATTCGTCTAAGTTAAATTGACGTCCCATACTTGTAGACGAATTAAACACGAGCGTTATAACATTGGCGACGTGTTTAAAAACCTCCGCCTGTAGCTCTTCTCGAGTTACTGCCGGTCCCAAGCCCGGTTAGAGGAGGAGGTTTGGGAATGGGGTTAGCATCATCATTCCGTAGAAAACTAACTCGCTAAAAAAACGCTTACCAGAAAAAATAATTCAAACCATTTTAACTCTGCCCTGGGAGTTAAAAGGTCTTCTTTTAGAAGCATTATGACGCTTCATGGTGAAAGCTGAGTTCCTTCGGAAGCCACGGGGCCGATGCCCCTTCTAACAACGACATTAGAGACCAATTTTATGAACGGTTGCAGTCAATCATAGAGAAATGCCCAAGAAAGGACCTCACCATTCTGATGGGAGATCAAAATGCCAAAGTCGGAATAGAAAACACTGGATATGAAGATATTATGGGACGACATGGACTGGGTGAGAGAAACGAGAATGGAGAAAGATTTGCAAATCTATGTGCATTCAACAAATTGATCATAGGGGGCACAATATTTCAACACAAACGTATACACAAGGCTACATGGATCTCACCGAACCAAACTACAGAGAACCAGATAGACCATATTTGCATCAACAAAAAATTCCGGAGGACAATGGAAGATGTGAGAACCAGGAGAGGAGCTGACATAGTTTCAGATCACCACCTAGTTGCAGACAATTTAAAACTGAAGCTGAAAAAGAACTGGACAAACAGCAATACTAAGGTTCAGTACAGCCTTCCTTCGAGATACTGACAGACTCAATGAATTCAAGATAGCTCTCAACAACAGGTTCCAAGCCTTACAAGATCTACTGAAAGAAGGAGAAACTACTATGGAGGACAACTGGGAAGGCATCAAAGAAGCATTAACTTCACCGTGTCAAGAGGTTCTGGGCCTAAAGAAACACCATCGTAAGGAGTGGATCTCTACAGAAACTCTGGACAAGATCAAACAAAGTAAGAACAAGAAGGCAGCAATTAACAACAGCCGAACACGAGCAGAGAAAGTCCAAGCACAAGCTGAATACATAGAAGCAAACAAGCAAGTGAAGAGGAGCATTAGAGCCGACGAGAAGAAGTACGTGGAAGAACTATCAAAGACGGCGGAAAAAGCTGCTAGAGAAAGAAAATATGAAAAATATGAAATTCAAAAACAGCGGAACAGATGGGTGGAATACTTCGAGGAACTCCTGAATAGGCCGGCTTCAATGAATCCACCGGACATCGAAGCGGCACACACAGATTTTCCCATAGACGTCAACCCACCAAAGAAGGAAGAAATCAGAATGGCCGTCAGACAAATCAAGAGCGGGAAAGCAGAAGGACCCGACAATATACCAGCTGAAGCACTAAAGTCAGACATCGAATTGACTACAAACATGCCTTACCTTCTATTCAAAAAGATTTGGGTGGAGGAACAAGTGCCGATGGACTGAAAAGAAGGGCACCTCGTCAAGATTCCAAAGAAAGGAGATCTGAGCAAATGTGAAAACTACAGAGGCATTACACTACTGTCAATACCAGGGAAAGTCTTCAACAGAGTGCTACTGAACCGGATGAAAGACGCAGTGGACGCCCAACTTCGAGATCAACAAGCTGGATTCCATAAGGATCGGTCGTGCACAGACCAAATTGCAACACTACGGGTCATCGTCGAACAATTAGTTGAGTAGAACTCGTCACTATACATCAACTTCATTGATTACGAAAAGGTATTTGACAGTGTAGATAGAACGACATTATGGAAACTTCTTCGACGCCATGTAGTTCCTGAGAAGATTGTCCACATTATCCGAAACCCATACGACGTACTACAGTGCAAGGTCGTGCATGAAGAACAGATGACAGATTCATTAAAGTGAACACCGGAGTCAGACAAGGCTGTCTACTCTCTCCCTTCCTCTTTCTTCTGGTGGTCGACTGGATTATGAAGACCTCGACATCTGAGGGAAAACACGGAATACAATGGACAGCTCAGAATCAGTTAGACGATTTGGAATTCGCAGATGACCTAGCCCTCCTATCCCATACACATGAACAAATGCAGATAAAGACAGCCAGTGTAGCAGCAGTCTCTGCATCAGTAGGCCTCAGCATACACAAAGGGAAAACCAAGGTCCTCAAATTCAAAGCGGAGAACAGCAATCCAATCACTCTTGATGGCGAAACTCTGGAAGATGTAGAAACCTTCACATATCTAGGAAGCATCATCGATGAACAAGGAGGCTCAGATGCAGACGTAAAGGCAAGGATTGGAAAAGCAAGGGTCGCATTCCTACAATTGAAGAACATATGGTACTCAAAACAACTTTCAACCAATATCAAAGTGAGAATCTTCAATACGAACGTCAAGTCAGTTCTACTGTATGGAGCTGTAACTTGGAGAACTACAACAACCACCATCATCAAACATGTACGAGTATTTATAAATAGTTGTCTACACAGCATACTCAACATCCATTGACCAGATATCATCAGTAACAGCCTACTGTGGAAGAGAACAAACCAGCTTCCATCTGAAGAGGAAATTAGGAAAAGACGATGGAAATGGATAGGACATACATTAGGCGAATCGTCAAACTGCAGCACGAGGCAAGCCCTAACTTGGAATCCTGAAGGGAAACGGAAAAGAGGAAGGCCTAAGAACACATTACGTCGGATATTAGAAGTAGATATGAAAAGGATGAATAGGAACTGGAAGGAGCTGGAAAGGAATGGGAAGGACAGGGTTGGATGGAGAATGCTGGTGAGCGGCCTATGCTCGTTCACGAGGAGTAACAGGCGTAAGTATGTAAGTAAGTAAGTAGCGTGTTTAAAACGGATCTACGCCTATATATTCAGTTAAAGTGGATTTTGTAGCAATACAATGGATGATCTGTAAACTTTATTGCAACAGCAAAATTCTCTTATCGAATTATTGGTCAAAAGTATGTCAATATCACCAAGGATCAATGTATCTAATTTCACTATGACTCCGTATTCTATTGTGAATTCAATAAATGAATTTAGATTCGATCCAGAATGTGAAATTACTTTTGAGGCATGGTTTAAACGCCATGAGGAATTGTTTATTAATGAGTGTAAAGAGTGGGACGAAGGTTTGAAACTCAGATTATTATTACGCAAGCTCGGAGTGTCTGAACATGAAAAGTTCTTTAATCGTATCCTCCCAAAGAAGCTAACCGACATAACCTTCAGAGAAATAGAAGAGTGTCTGACATGTATATTTGGTGAACGATCATCAGTTTTTCACACTAGATTCCAATGCCTCCAGCTTGTGAAAAAAGCACAGGACGATTAAATGACGTACGCAAGCATCGGGAACCGGGAATGTGAGTGGT